GTAATTAAGTTGTTTTTTGTTTTGCAAATTAGCATGCAATTTCTGCACTTTATCACTAATGAGATAAACCTAGAGTTGATCATTGCAGGTTTGATCACTGACCAAATGGCACTCAGTCATTACTAAAGCCATAAGGTTGTGTTACTTTTCAAACTTAACTACAGGAAAGTTGTAATAAATACTGATAATATGAAGCTTACACTTTTGAACGGGAACAGCTGAATCCCACAAGCCACACTACTCTATTCTGAGATCATGAGAAGAGCATGTTTTCCATGTAAATGTTTACAGTTGCACTGTTAAATACTTTATCAGCTAAACGGTTAAACAAATCTCACCTTATGTCTTCAGAAACATGTGGTTGGAAATCATCTGGTAATTGTTGGCGGCACTTTGGACAGGATGTCCGTCCTGCATCAAGGCTGTTCTTAATGCATGTTAAGCAATAGATGTGATTGCATGGCAGTCCCACTGTTTCCTGAGGCTCTCTCATGCACACCCCACACTCAAGGCCAAACCTTCAGGAAGATGCAACCAACAATCAAATTAGCTTAAGTGCAAATAAAGAAAAAGGCTGCGGGAAGTGGAGGTTCTGGGGGTACTGCAGCACCCCTGTTGTAAAGTTTAGTACACCCAACTTTAAGGTCTTTCCAATGGCTTTGCTAAAGAACATCCTTCAATATTTCATATAATATCATAATAAACTCTGCTAATAGTCAGACAGCCTTACCTGAAAAGCTGATTAGTTGCCTCCTGTTTGCAGGATTTCAGGACTTTAACTACAGCTTCAAAACCTTTTGTAGATTTTACATCCGAGTTTTCCTGCAGAACCTTAGAAGGACAAAATGATACACAATACTATAATGATGAACATTATGTTGTTACAAATTTTTTTGTTAGCAGAACATCATTTAAAACAAGATACAGTGGGATGCAAAAGTTTGGGCAACCTTGTTAATAGTCATTATTTTCCTCTATAAATCGTTGGTTGTTACAATAAAATGTCAGTTAAATATATCATATAGGAGACACACACAGTGATATTTGAGAAGTGAAATGAAGTTTATTGGATTTACAGAAAATGTG